TATGCGTAGGTTGAAAGTAAAGGGACAGACGAAGGTATTCCATGCAAAGATTAATAGTAACTAAAAGACAGCAGGGGAGGGTAAGCAACTACGACACAAAGAAGACTTTAAGTCAAAAGCTGTTACAGGAGACAAAGAATAAAGATGCTCATCATCACTTATCATTAAAGAAATGAAAATCTAAACCACGATCAGATATCACCTCATATCTGTTAGGATAGCTATTATTAAAAAATCAAAAACAAAACCAATAAACAAACAAAAACAAACCTCACCAAAAAATAAAAATAAAACAACAACAACAAATAAAAAGTGTTGGCAAAGATGTGGTGAAATGGAAATCCTTGTACATCATTGGTGGGAATGTGAAATGATACAGCGACTGTGCAAAATGAGATGGTAGTTCCTCAAAAAATTACATCTGGGCACGTGGCTTACTCCTGTAATCCCAGCACTTTGAGAGGCTGAGGAGGGAAGATTGCTTGAGTCCAGGAGTTTGAGACCAGCCTGGGCCACATAGACCCTATCTCAAAATAAAATTAAATATACAGAATTACCATACGATCCAGTAATTCTACTTCTGTATACATACCCAAATGTTTTTAAAGCAGGGACTCCAACCAATTTTTGTACCCCCATGTTAATACCCACTTTAACAGCAGCAGTACTCACAATAGCCAAGAGGAGAAAGCAACCCAAGTGCCCATCAATGAATGAATGAATAAATCAAATGTACAAAGGAAAGAAATTCTGACACATGCTACAGCATGAATGAACCTTCAGGACATTGAGTAAAATAAGAGTCACAAAAAGACAAATACTGTATGATTCCACTTACATGAAGTACCTAAAGTAGTCAAATTCAGAGAGACAGAAAGTACAACGGCAGCTTCCTGGGGCTGAGGAGAGGGAAGGATGGGAAATTGATATTGTTCAATTAGTACTGAGGGCTAAGGTTCACACCTCTTCCTCTCACTGTGGCCAGTAGAGCCTGCCTTGGCCATTGCATGGAAAGATTTTAATTTCTATGATACCAACGCATCTTTGACTTTCTAATGCTGCTAGAGATCATAAATATAATGTCTATGTCACATACATACTAACACAAAAGGATCTTATTGCCAATGTACCTAAGTATTTTCTTTTTATATAACTTGAGGTGTGATATTTCATCTACATCAGTAAGTTAAATATTTTGGTATAGCAAAGAGAGTAAATGACCACGTGTTTGATGGAATTAACTTAGGAGTAATGCATACCCAGAAATGGTCTAACCTACCTACATTTTTCTCCCAATCTAAATGTGTCAGATTTACTTAGTCCACATATTAGTCTCCCTACTTAAAATAATCACGCTCCTTCATTCTACCTGTTCAAATCCCACCCATTGTTTAGGGCCCAGGTGAAGGCAAATATTTTACAAAGCATTTCCTGACGATCCCAGCCCATGTTTATCTTCCTAACCTCTGGTCTCGATTTAATCATTTAGTGCTTAGTGATAGAATGCTTTGTATTCTTTGCTCTCATTTTATATTTAAAACCAACAAAAATGTATGAAAAAACTGATAACTATTCTAGCCGGAAAGTACAATCTGAGACAGTGATACAAGGTGGGTCCAATAAAACCCAATTGTGGACTTGCTTATTCTCTTTAAAGCCCACCCAGTATGAGCATGAGTTCAAAAATCCTACTGATTTGGATTATCCAAGAAGTTAATTCTAAAAACTGGTTTATGGAAAACTGGAGGAATTCTTTCCTCCTCCCCCACCCCCAACACACACACTTAATACAACACACTAGCACACACACTCAACCACACATACTTCGACACGAATAACAAGTGTATGGAAAGAAACTCTCTGGATACTAACACAGTAGAGTACACTATGTGTGCTCAAGATTCACACATCCACAGTCATCTGCCACCTAAATTCAGAGTCTGTTGCATTAGTGGTTAGGGCATGCCTCTGGGCATTGAACTGCTGGGTTAATCTGGAAATTATCCTTTTGGATCAGACATGAAATCAAGCAGAGAAAAATGTGAGAGGAGGTAGAGGGTAGTTGTCTTTTTCCTGCAATAAAAAAACATGTGTTTCAACAAACTGAAGAAAATGGAGTTCACTCTTTATAGTTAAAAGTACATATTACTTTGAGTTCAAATTCTTTCTATTAATACATAAGATTTATTGACGTTATATTGTTTGAGTAGGATCAAGAAAGCTGAATATTATTTCAGGTTTTCAAGCCATAAGGACAAATAGTGCCTTTAGGTTTTCCATTCACCTAGGAAAGTTATAGCTTCGTATTTGCAACACTAAAGCTAATGCAGTGTCAGCACCTCCATCAAACCCCGTTGTTCAGCAGTTTATAATTCAAGCAGAAATGTTCACTCCAAGACCAAACTTGGCCTATACAATCTCAAAAAAAAAAAATGGAGAAAAAATTATTTTGGCTAGCGCCGACTTATAAAAACAAAAGAGAGGGTGCTTTTACACAGTGCTTTGAAAAACATCTTTGAGAATTTGAGAAAGTAACTGGGGATTACTGAGTTGACATCCAGCATTACTAAAGTTATAGAAAGGACCCAAAACTCCATGACATCACATCAGCACCAGGAGTATCATAATTACTTTCATGAAATTCGTCATCAGGACTAACTTCCTTATCAAACAGAATTGCTGTTAATAGGAAAAAACAATCATAGTGGAAAATAAAGACAAATACGTAAAAATTTCTCATGAGGGCAACAGAAGACTTCAGATCCATTTTCCCTTTAAGTACTAACTCTCTAGTGCACCATATAGACACATATAAAATGAAAAAAAAAATACTTTTTTTACCCCACTTATTAAAGTAGTTTACAATGGTGGGCTGGAATTTCCAGAAACGACCTTTCTCTTCCCAAATGCTAACTTGGACTTAGAAACACTTTAATGTAGAAAGGGATTTCCAGCCGCAGGTTGGGCTCCTCATTCACTGAAGGTGGGTGCGGAGCCAGTGAGTTCTGGGAACTCATGCACTTTGAAGTCCTGTGGCAGGTGGGTTGTAGATTGCCTGGTGCCTTTGTGGCATCCTGTGGGTAAGTGGGCTGCCAACCTCTCATTGCTCTGATCTCCCACACCTTCAAAATATGCAAAGCTTTAATAGAGTGGGATCAGGGCATTACATTTAAAAATCGTCTTTTCCTATCTATACAAAGCTCCCTTGTACTAAATACAGTGTAATTCTAGGCACTCCGTGTCTGTTTTCTCTCAGCATTTATCAAAGCCCTATTACAGGCTGGGCCACAGATGATTTGATAAGATTCTCATCCTTTAAAAGATGTCGCGAGAAAACGAAAAGTACATTAAAAACTCCAGAACAATTGGACGACTTCACTGGAAAGGGTCTGGGGTGTCAGAGCGACACCTCCTCTCTTCCCCACCACGCAGCTCTCACCAGCCTTTGAAATCACACTGACTCACCTCCTGGGTATTCCCTTCCTTCTTCCCTTAAGTTCTGCTCATTTATCAAGGACTCCCTGTCCCTGGGACCCTGGGTCCCGGAACCTTCAGGCCCCAGAGATGCTGCTGAGAGGACCAGGCTGAAGGCGTCGCCTAGGAGGGTGTGGCAGGGCCTCTGGCATTTCCGGGGGCAGAGACGGCTTCAAGGGCTCACGGCTCACCTGATTGAACTGTGCAGCTACGAGCGAGGGTTCCCATATCTTAGAACTGGTGTTCACAGTCCCGCCTTTCTCTTTCTTGGGTGCCATGCAAAGGACGGGAGGAGCATTGGCGTCTAAACCGGGCTCCGGGCCTGCCTAAGCGTCCCTGCTACCACAGTAACCGAAGCCACGCCCAGTTCCTGGACGGCGTCGGGTCCCCTCCCGGGGTCAACCGCCTCCGTCTCCATAGCAACGGCGTTTCCGAGCGCGCGGCGCTTGGGGGCGGGGCTCCTGGTTCCCCGGTCAAAGCCTGGGCGGGTCGGGCCACGTTCTTCTACGGTCTGAGGCGCTGTCTAGAAACTCTGTATGTCTGCAATGCCATCCAGGACTCCTCCACCAACATTTCTTCCCCTCCTGAGGGACCTAGATTGGAACACTGACCCCTTTTGTCCCAACCGCTCTCATCTGCCCCAAGTGCTTCCTCTATGAAGCCAAATTTGTCTCTCCTTGACCTGTACACTCTGCCCTGGTCGTAGCTCACCTGTGGGGCCTTAGTAAACAAATCCAGACACCCTTTCAAGTTCCTCCTTGTTTAATTGTAGATGGGATTCATGTACTTCTCTGCCCAAAGAGTTCCAGTGCCTTTAAACTGCCTTTTATTGATTGGTAAGTAGAATATTTCTTTTTTCCCTTTTTCCCACCGTGCACTCCTCAATATCTAAAATATCCTGGTTGGACAAATTTCCCAAAAGAATGACAGTAATAAAAGCCATTTTTTCTTGAGCAATGGTTGTATGCCATGCAAGAGTATTTCATTTAATTCTTACAACCACCGTATCCCAGTTCCCACAGTGTTTGACTGATGGTGCCGGGATTAGATGCCAGGATAATCTGGGTCACACATGTAGTGTGGATAATTTCTACACTGTTGTCTACTACTGTTTCAGGCCTGCCGAAATGGGGGATACCCTCTTCTGGAGCTGGATTTACTTCTGTTTTTTATTACAGTGAGACAAATTTGGGGACACCCGGGGGCAGAGCGCAATCAAAAGTGTCTTGCTGTCTCCTTAGTCATATAAAATGCAGCACGGACCAGGGCTTTACTAGCCATTAAGGCCCTGCACTTGCCTAGAGGTGAGATGCTTCAGCTATGTCACTGGCCCGGATGAGTGAGGCGATGCAAGCCGGAAGCGTAATTTCACTGAGCACAACGTGGTGAGTGGGTGACCTTTCACAGGGGAATATTCTAAACCTTTTCATTGCTAACGCTTTTAATTTTTTTGAGGAATAAATTGAGGGAAGGGGGATAGTGACATCCAGCCACCAGCATCCTTTTTCATTTAGGGGGCACTTTATTTATTTATTTTTTTATTGCATTTTAGGTTTTGGGGTACATGTGAGGAACATGCAAGATTGTTGCATAGGTACACACGTGGCAGTGTGATTTGCTGCCTTCCTCCCCTTCACCTATATCTGGCATTTCTCCCCATGCTATCTGTCCCCAACTCCTCACCCGCTGTCCCTCCCCTATCTCCCGCAACAGACCCCAGTGTGTAGTGCCCCCTTCCCTGTGTTCATGTGTTCTCATTGTTCAACACCCGCCTATGAGTGAGAACATGTGGTATTTCATTTTCTGTTCTTGTGTCAGTTTGCTGAGAATGATGGTCTCCAGGTTCATCCATGTCCCTACAAAGGACACGAACTCATCGTTTTTGATTGCTGCATAGTATTCCATGGTGTATATGTGCCACATTTTCCGTTCCCAGTCTATCATCGATGGGCATTTGGGTTGGTTCCAGGTCTTTGCTATTGTAAACAGTGCTGCAACGAACATTCGTGTGCACGTGTCCTTATAGTAGAACGATTTATAATCCTCTGGATATATACCCAGTAATGGGATTGCTGGGTTAATGATGATTTCAAGTTTTGTTCATAATTTAGACCATGAAAGAAAGTTTCTCTTTACAGTCTAATTCTTTAATACAGGTACAGTCAGCCCTCCCATTGTCACAGTTCTTCATTCCTGGATTCAACCAACTTTGGATCCAAAATATCAAAACATAAATAAGGAAATATACAAATAAAGAAAAATACAGCATAACAACTATTTTACAGCATTTACATAATGTTAGATATTATAAGTAACCTAGATAGGATTTAAAGCATAGGAGAGGATGTGCATAGGTTATATGCAAATACTAGACCACTTTATTAAGGGGCTTGAATATCAGACGTTTTTCTACTGGGGAATGTGAGGGTCCTGGAAGCAATTCCTGGTGGCTACCAAGGGACCATTATATCAAAGAAAAACAATTTCTAGGAAGAGTCTTTCACAGAAGCTTTACTGAATAATACCAATTTGTATTTCTTAGAATAAGTACAGTTCATCTTGTTGGGAGGGAATAGACAGATCCTATGGCAGCGTAGCCATAGGGCTAGGTAATTTACATCTGGAAGCCCTCTCGTCAGGAGAATAAAATTACGGATGCATGGTGAGGCCAGAGTGAGCTACCAAAAAACCATTTTCTTGGGAGTCTCCATAGCAACACCTAGGCTGCTGTTGATTAATTTTCATAGTATTTTTCCCAAAACTTTGTTCTTAACTAAAATTTTCTTAGCATTTGTAAGATGAAAATTTTCTTTGTATTATGGCTGGAAAATAAAGTTGTGTCTCTTCCATACACACACAAAAAATCTACCCAATCATTAATTATATCATTCTGAATTTTAATCAAGTTTTTCTCATAGTTTTAAACTGGGGAAAAAGTTCTGCTTTTTCATTTAAAAGGTAGTAAAAAGTTTGTTGGCATTCTGGTATAGTTTATAAAAAATTTAACTAGATGTTTGTGCATGTCTTGCTACATGAGTAATTTTCGCTCTTCTTGAATGTGAATGCGCACCTCAAAATAAACTGTTACCTGCAATCATTTCAGCCAAATCACTAGCAGATGATTAATAAAATAGGTTGCAGATAAAAAAAGAGAAAAAATGAAATAAGCAGAACAAAAAGTAAAATTAAGTGCTATTTAAAAATTGCAGAGAAAGCGTCACTATCTCTGTAATTCTTATAAGTGACAGCTGTCCAACCGGCAGCAATAATTTGTTTGCAATACTTATTTGACAAGACTGTCCGTTGTTTATCAAACATTTCCTTTTCTTTTCTCCTAATATGTGAGTCAGACACTTTTTGACCTTCCTTATTCTTAGATATGAACATGTGACTGAGTTCTCGCCAAGTCTGGCTTTGAAAAATGTCTCCCAGCATTGCGTATACCCTTTCTGCTCGATATTGGGCTGGCGTTGAAAACCTTATCTCTGAATGATTGCTGTGACACAGAGGTCTCCCCTTCCCCTAAGGATCATCCTGCCCCTCCCACCAAAGGCATTTGCTTGGGACTCTTAAGCAGGTGAGAATTAAACGTTTTTCTTAAAGCTGCCGAAATATTGAGGTTTGCTATAGCAGCCAGGGTTACCATAACTACCCTAACACTGATAATTTTCATCTGAGAATCGCCTTTTAATAAATCTAACACCAGCCAGCCTCTCTCAAACTGCCTGAGGAAACAGCCTTGTTACTCTAGGAGGCAGTACACAATGCTGGCCACTGTGAGAGGCAGGAAGATCCAACCCCTGCCTCTCCACTCCCGATTGGTGAGATCTCATGCGATCCTGAGGTCACCCTTTACCTTGCCTTCCATCTGCATAGCCGGTACATTCTTTCACTCCTTTATCTAGTAAATAAACTTCTTACTTTAAACAAGTGGTTTGCGTATCTAAGTAATACAATAAACTAGTCTTATATCACATATACCTAGGAAAGATTTTTCCTGTTTTCAGAAGATAAGCCAACTAGATCCATCGCCTAGCTAGCCATATACATACTTTATAATTTTGAAAATGATTTAAAGGAATTGAACATTTTAAAAGCCAAAATCAAATATTTCAGGATGGAAGGGTGTATTTCTAATATAATCTTTTATAGTTTCCTTGGTTAAGTCCTACCAGAATAAATTTAAATATAGAAGGTTTTCCGAAATTGATTTAAAGAGTTTAAAATAAAGGTTTTATTACAGAATGCTTTTTGCCCAGTTTCGGCCTTTTTCATTATTCTAGGGAAAGTGGTACTCTAGATAATTTATGACACAAAAGGGGAAGAAATTATACGGTAACCAAATTTATAAGGGGTTTCATCATAGAACTGGTCTGTTTAATTTCAGAAAATAGGTGTGAATGACAATGTTCATAGGTTTAAGTAGCAAAAGTCATTCAGCCAAAAAGGGACCCTGCCAAGAACAGAAAAAAAGCCTTACCATCCGTCATACATTTATGCTTTTTTCGGTATAATAAATTGTTTCCCCCACTAAATATAAGTTGAAACTTTATAAGCATATACTTTACTACATAAATTTTCCCATATGTCAGTGGCTAAAAGAAAACTATACTATTTGGAGAATTTTCGTTCACATTGGCAGGGTTACTCTTGGTTTGTTTGATTTCGTTTTTCCACTATGAGTTTGCATTTGATATGTTGAGTTTACCAAAGACTGTCCACTTTTAGGGCTGCACAATCTCTTTAGGGTTTGACTGCTGAATAAGTTACTTCTTCAAGTATTAGGCTTTGATCTTATAATTCACTCTTACTCGGGTGTGAAGTCAGCCATATTACGTTTCATACCTGAAAGGTTTAGCCAGCTATTGATGCATCCAGTATTTCCACTGTTTTCAGGGAACATCAGGAACTATGGATCAATTCACTTCTAGGCCAGGATTCCAGGTGTTTGAAATCCTTTTAGCTACAGCAACCGGCTTGCCTTGGTTTGAGAAGGCCTCACAGATGTCTACTGATTTCTCCAGTTGGTATCCTACATCCAAGAACACCTCTCACTATACCTGTGTCTTGTTCACACCATGATCTCTGCTTTTCTAACCTTCAAAATGGAGTGCTGTAAGCCGTGTCTTTGGGTTTTTATTCTGTATGATACTGAGGGCTAGGTGTCTCTCAGCTACAGGGTCCAAAACATATGGAGAATATTATACGCGCATTCTGTAGTCAGCGTTAGCTTCCTATTTATTTGTGAGTGCTGTTTAAAGTGTTGATTTTAATCTTTAAAGCCCCTCATTGTTTAGAAGCCAGTTACTCCAGATATCACATCTCTCCCTATGCATCACTGCGACAATTAAAATCAGCTGCAGTGCTTGCAGTTTGTAATCCCGCGTGAATTCTGGGGAGCCTGGGAGTAGATCACTTTCCAGAGAACTTTCCTAAGAACCTCAGTTTCTGTCAATGATAAAAACAGTATTTGGAGTTTACAGTTTTGGGCTTGAATGTCTCGTCATATATCTGTAACTGTCTGGAACTATAATTAAGTGCTGTTGATTTAATTTTTATGTTATTTGTAGTGAGAGAGTTTAGAATACCAAATCTACGTTTAATGAATCAGAAAAGTAACAGATGTACGTAGTAAAAATGGACAAAGCTAAAATTCATCTGTTTCATATTTATTAGTGTGGGAGTTTTCACTCTAGTGTTCTCTCAAGTCTTTCTTTGAATCTAATTTTAATGTCTTCAGTGAAGGGATTTGCCCTGAATCCTTAGGGAACCATTTCAAAATCTATAACTCATGGTAATTCATTTCTCTAAATGCTTACCTAAATATTTCTTAATGATTTATCAGATGTCTGTTACTTGTAAATTTGTGCTATGTTACTAACTTTCTTTTTGCTGTATACAAGGTCCAAAAGCTATAGTTGAGGTAAACCTACTTCAGTCTAACAGACTACACCATGTAATATTATGCCAGATCATGGAGCAATCTTTTGGAGAGAACAGATGATTGGTAATGAGGCTTTGAAGACCTGGTAGCACTATGTATGACGCTTAGATAAAGAGACGTGTCCACCACTTTTCTTACCCATCTTTCTTCAACTTCTCATTTCTTTTTCCAGCCTAACCCTCAGGCTTCTTCAAAAAATACAGGATATCACTAGGAAGGTTTCCAAATGACTTCCTAGGAACTTTGTCTCTCACTATGATCTTGTAAATGTTAAATGCAACTGTGCATACTCACATTTTTCTATCTTACCATGTATGCCAATCCATGTTTTCATGAATTAATTTTGCTTTGCTAGCTTCCAATTTTTGTCTAATATCCTGTTATGGAAGGAACCCCAACCAAAGGCTATAGGATACCATAGTGCCCCATTTATTGAGAAAGGGTTATCATTCAGTGAGATCCAGTTACTTCATTTCCGCCTGTATTTCAAGATCATAGCTCATTTGCCTACCTAACAACTGTAAAATGTTCTTTCTTGGCATTTTATACTATATTCATCTCTTGGTTAAAAAAATGTTTATCTGATTAAGTAAAATTATATTTCCCAATTGATTGGTTTGCCATTTAGAGGGATGAGAATGTTAGAAAAAGAAGGTTCTGGATGGGTTGGGTGGCGGGTGAGGAAATTATGATTTTGATTTTAGACGTGTTCAGTTTGTGTACCCTTGAGACATCTGGATGTGTCAGGCAGTTGGACACGTGGGCCTGGTGCTCGCAGCAGAGATAGATACGGGTAAATCATTAGCAGATGAGGATGAGTTTGCCTGGAGCGACCACCAAGTGAGCAGGGGAGCAGAACCCAGAGCTGAGCCTTTAGGAGATTGCGGCTGTGAGGAAGAACATAGATATGCAACCAAAGAGACTTGTGAAGCCAAAGGACAGAATGAAAGCATTTCTAAAACGAGGGCATATCCAGCAGTGTTAGATGCTACTGAGAGGTCAGTGCTTGCTGGATTCAGGGAAGAAAAGGTCGGAAGCAGCTACTCTACTTCAGTTACGTTCACTTGAATGCATTTCCTCTGCAGGTAAATTTTCCTGCTGTCCTTGAGTCAAACTGATCTTTAAGAGTGATTTTTGTTTTTAAATTACATTTCCAATACTTTTTTCTTTTTTTTTTGAGACGGGAGTTTCGCTCTTGTTACCCAGGCTGGAGTGCAATGGCGCAATCTCGGCTCACCACAACCTCCGCCTCCTGGGTTCAGGCAATTCTCCTGCCTCAGCCTCCCGAGTAGCTGGGATTACAGGCACGTGCCACCGTGCCCGGCTAATTTTTGTTTGTATTTTTAGTAGAGACGGGGTTTCACCATGTTGACCAGGATGGTCTCGATCTCTTGACCTCGTGATCCACCCACCTCAGCCTCCCAAAGTGCTGGGATTACAGGCTTGAGCCACTGCGCCCGGCCCCAATACTTTTATATGTAGTGAATGTATGGGCTGAAAGAATTAATACTGTTAAAATGTTCAGACTACCCAAAGAAACCTAAAGACTCAATGTAATCCCTATCAAAATACCAGTGGCATTCTTCACAGAAATAGAAAAAAAGAAATCCTAAAATGTATATGAAACCACAAAAGACTCTGAATTGCTGTAGAGCAAGCAACCCCAAGCAAAAAGAACAGAGGCAGGGATATTAATATTATATTACCTGACTTCAAACTAAACTACAAAGCTGTAGTAATCAACACAACATGGTACTAGCATAAAAACACATAGACCAATGAAACAGAATAGAGAAACCAGATGTAAATCCATACATTTACAGTGAACTTATTTTCAACAAAGCCTGCAGAAACATACCCTGGAAAAAGGACAGTGTCTTCAATAAATGGTGCTGGGAAAACTGGACAACCATATGCAGAAGAATGAAACTAGACCTTTATTTCCTGCCATATTAAAAATCAACTCAAAATAAATAAAAGACTTAACTCTAAGACCTGAAACTATGAAAACACTAGAACAAAACATTGGAGAAATGCTTTAGAACATTGGTCTGGGCAAAGATTTCTTGAGTAGGACTTCAAAAGCATAGGCAAAAGACACAAAAATGGATAAATGCAATCGTATCAAGTTAAAAAGCTTCTGAATAGGAAATGAAACAGTCAATAGTGAAGAGACAGCCCACAGAATGAGAGAAAATATTTGCAAACTATTTAAATGACAAGAGATTGATAACTAGACTATATAAAGAACACAAACTACCCAATGGCAAAAAAATTAAAAAACACCAAATAATTGGATTAAAACATGAGCAAAAGATCTGAATAGACATTTCTCAAAAGAAGGCATACAAATAATCAACAGGTATATGAAAAAATGTTCCACATCACTAATCATCAGAGAAATGCAAATCAAAGCCACAACGAAACATCATTTCACCCTAGTTAAATGGATTTATCAAAATGACAAAAAATAGCAGATGCCAGTGAGGACTTAAAGACGAACTCTCGTGCACTGTCGGTGAGAATGTAAATTAGTACAAACACTATGGAGAATGGTATGGAAGTTCCTCAAAAATCTGAAACTAGAACTATTGTATGATCTAGCAACCCCACTGCTGGGTATATATCCAAAT